TTTCTGTTCTGCCCTGTGCTGCCCTGTTCAGGCAGCTTGCTGAGGCTTTTCAGCCCAGTGAGGATCTCCTGTTCTGTAGGTTGTAGAGGGCTTGGGTGGAGCACTGTATCCAAACTGAATTCCAAGAGGAGGAGATCCCCTGGTCCTCCGGTGGGTTGTATGCACCTCCTGGGTGGGGCAATGCCCTGCCTTGCCTCAACTTGCCCTATTTGGTTTATACCCACCGTCCAACCAGACACATAAAATGAACCTGGTACCTTGTTTGAAATTGTGGAGACGACTCAGCTTCTTTGTCTCTCTTGCTAGGAGCTGCTTTCTGGAGCTGCCTCTTAATGAGCCATCTTGGGATCTCCCACCCACATTATATTATTTAAAGCACTGTTTTCTATAAAACTAATCACAATGGTGATATCCTATAGCAGGCAACCTGCACTATGTCATAGTATACGGAAGACAAGGGAAAGAATGAGGACACCCCCCACATGAAGTGCCAACTTCCCACTTAGTCAACCTTGAAATCATACACAACACATCGTCCACATCAAATGTGAGGGTTATTTATAAATATCAGTAAAGTTTAACTTCTTTCTTACATTTGCAGACAAAAACAAATGGAAAAGTTCTTATATCATCTTCCTATACCCCAAATGGATCATCCTGAATATTTAGTCCTCAGCAACCCAACTATCTACTTTGGTACCATCCCCAGGGGCAGCCCATTCTGGAGATCCCAAGCTCCAAAACTCCTTCTTACTCCATCTTTACTTGTTTCCCTGCATCCACATGAAATGCCCTATACTATTGGGAGTATTGTGAGCTGACAAAGCAGTCTTGTTAAAACCGTAGGATTTATGGATTTGTGATTCCATTTAGAAGATTCATTTTGCAGGCTGTGCCTTCCTCTCCAAGCATTTGATTCCTATACTCTCCAGATATTTCCCTCATGAAGCACATATCATGCTTCAGGGAAACAGTCCTTATTTTGATAGTCTGCTCCCCCTTAGCTGGCTCTACAACTTTCCTTATTCTCATATCTACTCCACGAATATCTCTGTGTTAAATATTCCTAATATGGCCAGGATCAGTGGCTCAAGCCTATAATCTCAGCACTTTGGGAGGCTGAAGTAGGAGGACTCCTTGAGCCCAGGAGTTTGAGACCAGCCTAGACAATGTAGGGAGACCTTGTCTCTACAAAAAATTTTAAAAATTAGCAAGGTGTGGCGGTGTACACCTGTGGTTCCAGCTACAGGTGCTGATGTGGGAGCATTGCTTGAGCCCTGTAGGTTGAGGCTACAGTGAGTCATGATCGCACCACTGCACTCCAGCCTGGGTGACAGAGTGAGACTGTCTCAAAACACAAACAAAAAACAAACAACAACAACAAAAACACCTAATATGTTTGGATTTCTTCATGCTGCTGCTCAGAGGGAGGCCTCTTTGACTTGCAGAAAAAAACCCTAGAGCGGTGGCTCACGCCTGTAATCCCAGCACTTTAGGAAGCCGAGGCGGGTGGATCATGAGGTCAAGAGATTGAGACCATCCTGGCCAACATGGTTAAATCCCGTCTCTACTAAAAATACAAAAATTAGCCAGGCATTTGGCATGTACCTGTAGTCCCGGCTACTTGGGAGGCTGAGGTGGAAGAATCGCTTGAACCCGGGAGGTGGAGGTTGCAACGAGCTGAGACTGTGCCACTGTGCTCCAGCCTGGCAACAGAGCAAGACTCCATCTCAAAAAACAAAAACCTTAGAATCAACTTCCTAAGACAACTTTCTTTTATTCCATGGGGCCAAATAACCTGGTTTCCAATATCTGATTCCACCTTGAACTCACACTGCATGGATCCTCATTCTGTAAACCACAGCCTAATACCTTGTGTGCAAAGCAGGATAACGCCTTTCCCCACTCACTTTGGTATATTTTTAAGAAAAATTATTTTGCATAGTTAACTTTTAGATTAAGGGTATGTTGCTTTTTATTCATGGGATATCTAAGAAATAAAATCCCAAGAAATCCTGTATCTTATTCTAAAATGCAGGCCAGGCCAGTTGCAATGGCTCACGCCTGTACTTCTAAAGTCTTGGGAGGCTGAGACTGGAGGATCATTCAAGGCCAGGAGTTCAAGACCAGCCTGGGCAACATAGTGAGACTACCATTCCTAAAAACATTGAGAAAATAGCTGGGCATGGTAGTGTGCACCTATATAGTCCTAGCTACTTAGGAGGATTGCTTGAGCCCAGGAGTTTGTGCTTATAGTGTGCTATGACCGTACCACTGCACTCCAGCCTGGGCAACAGAGAGAGACCCTGCCTCAAAAAATAATGATAATAATCATACTAATAAAATACAGTGCAGGGCACATTAAATCAGTATATAAGTGAGCAAATAAGTCATTCAAACATTAAAGTGTATGCACTGAGTAACAATTCAGAAGTGGTGAGAGGGTATAAGCCCTCCCTTGAAGGATATTTCCATTTGCTTAAATTCCCCTACTACTAAATGCTCTTTCCTGAGTTGCCTCAAGGCCCCTGGCTCATTGCTCCCTGGTCTCTGTTGGCAGGTCACTCTTTGAAACATCCTCCCTAGCACCTCCTTGTCCTCCTCCTCCATCATGTTGTACCCTGGACTGTATTTTATTTTTCTTCATGGTGATTACTCTCTAGCACTGATGGGTGTTTTCTGTCTGTCCTACCAGAATGTGAGCTCCACAAGGGTAAGAACTTTGGGTTTATGTCTGGGCAGCACTCTCCTCCAGATTCAGCTGGAAGCAGGCAACCCTTTTCATGTTAGACTCTCCATCCTGTGCTTTGAGCACATGCTAGATGTCAAAAAGCCCCTTACAGCAGGGCTCCCTCTTGTTATCTGTTCTCAGTAGAGGAATGCTAATGATGAAAAGGGATGATGAGCAGGGGCTAATGCTGCCCAAAAGAAAACTGCACCGGCAGTCATATAAACTTCCTCTCCCATCCTTAGCTGATGTCAGAAATCCATGGTTTGACAATGTGACAGCAATATCAATTATGGCGCAGCCCTGAAAGAATTATGCACACCATGAAGTAAACAAGACTGACTTGGCCTTGTGCCTTATGCAGCACAAAAGCTGGACCACACATTTGCAGTCCTCGTATTCAAGACCTCAGGGGGTCAAGCTATCATCTCACAGCATAAATTAAAACCATAAGTAAATAAAAGGACCACCAAATGCAAGTGAGGGGAGTATAGCTAAGGATCTTGGGCCCATATCCAGGCTCACCCAGAGAGTATCCTTCCATACAAAAGCTAACATATATTATTCAACACCATGTGTTTAATAATTTTACACATGTTAACTCAATCTTCATCACAATCCTATTAGGTAAGTACTATTAATATTCATATTAGGGGTCCTGCCTGCAAACGCGTCTGCAAGTCGAGATGTCGCACCCGTCCCCCCAAGCCAAGCCCTCCAATCCCAGTAACCCTCGAGTCATCTTTGACGTGGACATCGGAGGGGAGCGAGTGGGTCGAATTGTCTTAGAATTGTTTGCAGACATTGTACCCAAAACTGCGGAAAATTTTCGTGCACTGTGTACAGGAGAAAAAGGCATTGGACCCGTCATGACTGGAAAACCTCTCTATTTCAAAGGATGCCCTTTTCATCGAATTATTAAGAAATTTATGATCCAGGGTGGAGACTTCTCAAATCAGAATGGGACAGGTGGAGAAAGTATTAATGGCGAAAAATTTGAAGATGAAAATTTCCATTGTAAGCTTGATCGGGAGGGTTTACTGAGTATGGCAAATGCAGGCCGCAACACAAATGGCTCTCAGTTTTTTATCACAACAGTTCCAACTCCTCATTTGGATGGGAAACATGTGGTGTTTGGCCAAGTAATTAAAGGAATAGGAGTGGCAAGGATATTGGAAAACGTAGAAGTGAAAGGTGAAAAACCTGCCAAATTTTGCATTATTGCAGAATGTGGAGAATTGAAGGAAGGAGATGGTTGGGGAATATTCCCAAAAGATGGCTCTGGCGACAGTCATCCAGATTTCCCTGAGGATTCAGATATAGATTTAAAAGATGTAGATAAAATTTTTTAATAACGGAAGACTTAAAAAACTTTGGAAATACTTTTTTCAAATCCCAGAACTGGGATATGGCCATTAAAAAATATGCAAAAGTTTTAAGATATGTTGACAGTTCAAAGGCTGTTATCGAGACAGCAGATAGAGCCAAGCTGCAACCTATAGCTTTAAGCTGTGTACTGAATATTGGTGCTTGTAAACTGAAGATGTCAAATTGGCAGGAAGCAATTGACAGTTTGGAGGCTCTTGAAATAGACCCATCAAATACCAAAGCATTGTACCGAAGAGCTCAAGGATGGCAAGGATTAAAAGAATATGATCAAACATTGGCTGATCTTAAAAAAGCTCAGGAGATGGCACCAGAAGATAAAGCTATCCAGGGAGAGTTGCTGAAAGTCAAACAAAAGATAAAGGCACAGAAAGATAAAGAGAGGCAGTACATGCAAAAATGTTTGCTTAGTAAGGATTCAATTTTGCTTATTGTGTGATTGTATAAATGCAATAAGAAAATTTAAAGGTTTTGTCTATTAATATGATCCCTAATATGTTTCTTTTTACACCTCAGTTCCTCATTGTTTACAGTTTAGGAGTACTGATAGGGGTTCATGCTTAATAAACATGTTAAATACAGTTAAAAAAATATATATATATATATTCATATTAAGACTTCAGAAAATGGAAACTTATATAACTTGCCAAAAGTCACAAGGGTAGAAACTTGCAGAGCCAGGATTTGAATCCAGAAGCCATATGTTCAAGATAAAACATCATAAATGTTGGTCGTCATCTGGAAGTACACCAGTTAAACTACAACTGCACTTCCAACTCTATTGAAAGCTCTAAAGAGCTCACAGTTGGGAGCTGCGAATGAGAAGGAAGTGGGCTACACTCATGCACAATTCCACGCTTAGGACAGTTTGGGGTGCTTTACTTACTGCGTGCCAGGTAGATCCAGCCGTGAGCTCCGATTTCTCCAGCAGGACCACATCTTTCATCCCCGCTTTGGCGAGGTGATAAGCCAGACTCACACCAACACAGCCACCTCCAATTATCACTGTTTCTGCTCTGTCTTTCCACCGTGTTTCTGCAGATAAAGGTAGTTTTTCCTCTCTAGAAGAGATGAAGTTAAAATGGGACGTTTACTCGGTGATGGTAGTTATAGTCCTGGCACTTCCCCTTACCGGTTTCTCTAATACTTAACACCCACTGACTGAGATTTGCATGATAGTGATTTAATAATTTGGAACGTCTAAACTGTGACTTAGGCAACCTGGTTGGGGGAGGGGTATTTGAGCCCCATTCCATATAATGATTCTGGTCCATTGAAGCTACTATAGCCAAAGAAATAAACAGTAGCTTCCTTTGTTTCAAAGAATCTAGAGAATAGGTCGGGTTTGGTGGCTTACATCTGTAATCCCAGCACTTTGGGAGGCCAAGGTGGGAAGATTGCCTGAGCCCAGGAGTTCAAGATGATCCTGGGCAACATGATGAAACCCCATCTCTATAAAAATACAAAAATTAGCCAGGTATGGTGGTACATGCCTATAGTCTCAGCTACTTGGGTGGCTGAGGTAAGAGGATTGCTTGAGCCCAGGAGGTTGAGTTGAGGCTGCAGTGAGCCATGATTGTGCAACTACACTCAAACCTGTCCAAAAATATATATAATAATAATAAAAAAGATTTAAAATGGTACACCTATCTGGGTACTTCACCATGAATGGAGCTTGTAGGACTGGAAGTGGCTCTAGATGAGTCTGAGTAAGTGGTGAGTGAATGTGAAGGCCTAGGAGATACTGTACACTACTGTAGGCTTTATAAACATTGGACACTTAGGTTACACCAAGTTTATTTTAAAATACATTTTTCTTTTTTCAATAATAAGTTAACAGTTTGCTATAACTTTGTTACCTTTATAAACTTTTAAATGTTTTTTGACTTTTTAATAACACAGTTTAAAATGCAAACTCATTCTACAGAAACATGTTCTTTCTTTATATCCTTATTCTGGAAATTTTTTCTATTAAAATATCTTCTTTTTTTTAAGTTTTCAATTTTTTTTTTCAAGACAGCATCTCACTCTGTTGCCCAACCTAGAGTACAGTGGCTCAATCTTAGCTCACTGCAACCTTTGCCTACCCGGTTCAAGCGATTCTCCGGCCTCAGCCTTCCGGGTAGCTGTGATTACAGGTGCACACCACCACCACACCCAGCTAATGTTTCTGTTTTTAGTAGAGACGGGGTTTCACCATGTTGGCCAGGCTGGTCTCAAATTCCTGACCTCAAGTGATCCTCCTTCCTTTGTCTCCGAAAGTGCTGGGATTACAGGCATGAGCCACTGCACCCAGCCTCAAACTTTCTTATCAAAAACTAAGACACAGCTGGGCCCAGTGGCGCACTGTAATCCCAGCATTTTGGGAGTCCGAGGCAGGTGGATCATGAGGTCAAGAGATCGAGACCATCCTGGCCAACATGATGAAACCCCATCTCTGCTGAAAATACAAAAATTAGCTGGGCATGGTGGTGCATGCCTGTAGTCCCAGCTACTCAGGAGGCTGAGGCAGGAGAATCACTTGAACACTGGAGGCAGAGGTTGCAGTGAGCCAAGATTGCAGCACTGCACTCCAGCCTGGGCAACAGAGTGAGGCTTCAACAATAACAACAACAACAACAAAAAACACACACAAAAAAAACTAAGACACAAACACACACATTAGCCAAGGCATACACAGGGTCAGGATCATCATCACTGTCTTCACACCTCTGCATCTTATCCCACTGGAGGATCTTCAGGGGCAATAATGTATACACTGTTGTCATCTCAGGGTCTCATTCCATCACCCAGGCTGGAGTGTAGTTGGTGTCATCTCTGTAAGTTCTGCCTCCCAGGTTGAAACAGTTCTCATGCCTTAGTCTCCTGAGTAGCTGGCATTACAGACATGTACCACCAAGCCCAGCTAATTTTTGTATTTTTAGTACAGATGGGGTTTCACCATGTTGGCCAGGCTGGTCTTGCACTCCTGGCCTCAAGTGATCTGCCTGCCTTGGCCTCCCAGAGTGCTGGGATTACTGGTGTGAGCCACCAGGCCCTGCCATAGCTATCATCTCTTATGATAACAATGCCTTCTTCTGGAATACCTCCTGAAGGAACTGTCTGAGCCTATTTTACTGTTAACATCTTATTTTATAAGTAGAAGGAGTATACTCTAAAATAATGATTAAAAGTATAGTGTAGCCGGGCACGGTGGCTCACGCCTGTAATCCCAGCACTTTGGGAGGCCGAGGCGGGTGGATCACGAGGTCAAGAGATCTAGACCATCCTGGTCAACACGGTGAA